TTATTTATCTGTATTTTACAGGTAAAACTGAGGTTTTAAGGCCTTATATTGTCCAGATGGAGTTCAATTTTTTTAGTGCATTTAACTTCAAAGCCTCTTCCTTTTTCAGAGAACCCAGAATATAGCAAAATAAACATATAAACTCTCCAGAACCCTACATAAGAGATCAACTCATTTACTTAACTACCTGAGCAGAGACATTCCCTGTCTTCCGCCTGATGTGTGAAAGAAGAACCAGAAATGGTTGAATTAGAGACTTTGAGTGTTAGGTAGGGAATGTGACTGCAATGCCCAATCTCCATGCCACCCTGGCATGGCCATCCCTGTACAAAAAGACAAATGATAAAAATTCCTCCTATTCTTACAAAACGCTCTTCAAACAAGGATCTCAAAGCACACCATAATTAATAAAATCACCCACATCCTGCCTAGATGAGTAGCATTTTATATGGATAAATTCCTCTCTGCCCCCAGGCCCTACAAGAGTAGAATGTTTCCAATTTTAAAGAGTGAGCGATAGAGTAATTGAAAGGAGCTGTATCTTGGCTGACACAAAGGACCTCAAAGGCATTAATAGTGATCTATATGAGAAAACATGGTGACCACGAAGTATATCATAATGGCTTGTCAGCCATGCCATGCTAAATGATTCAAAGATAGAAAAGACAGGGCAATTCTTAAGAGTTAGCTACCCTTGGGATCAATATTCTGATCTATTTGGTCAACTCTCCAAAAGATCTAGAAGCAGTAAAGTGATGACATTAGCTGATGATCCAGTTACCTGTGTTAATCGAGGCAAAGGGGACAGACGGGGCCAATTAAGTAGTTGGGCAGCCCAATGATAGATGAGTCATTATGGGCAAGCACAAAGATAATGCCATTGGGAAAGGCAATTTAAGTCATTCATGCACTTCCAGGCCAGGAAATCCTTCTAGTCTTTGAGGGGGATCATTTAGGAATCATCAGACCCAGCCTGATGAAGTCATCTATTCATTGTGCAGCTAACGATCAACAAAAGAGCTAAACATACAAGGCGACAGGCCATATGGAATACATTTTGGTGGCTGAGATGTATTTCTGTGACTTCATTTGAATCACCTTCTTTAAAACAAGTCTTACCCAGTCCTTCTTTTTCGTTCCCTTCTTCTTCCACAACCTCCCCCTACTCCTTATGCTCTCACCTACCTAAATACACAGTTTCGATGTATAGATGAAATTTTCTTTTAAATGAAGACAAATATTCTCCTCCTCATTTCTAGTTCTGGCCTTCAAAGAGGTTGCTTTCTATACACATACAAGTTTCCAAGGAACACTTCAGCATATTACAAAGCAAAATGTATACAAATGGTTCTATACCTCTCCCAATCCCTTACTTGTATTCATGTTGCAAATCTGGAATTTCAGGGTTGAGGGCTTATCTTTTACTTTTTGAAGGAGATGAGTGGGAAAATAAAAGCATATATGAATTAAAATAAGCCATATTTGCAGCTACCTGTTTCTTGAAAACCAAAGTCCCAACCAGGAACCCCAAAAGTAAAGGTTATCAATGATTGCCATGTTGATAAAATCAGTAAACAGTATTTCATCTCCTGATTTGTCTTCTCCCACCCTGATTGCTCTGTTTGTCTCCCTTTTAAGTTTATTCTCTTCCCAACCACTAAATGTTGGATTCTTCGATCCCTGTCCTCTTTTTTTTTTTTTTTTTAGAAAATCTACCCATCACTCCTGCCTTATCTTGCCCAACACTTAACCACATCTTACCCGGTTCTCAACCACTCTTTTCTTCTACAAACCACTGGACCATTGCACCCGTTTCCTGTACTTGAAATGCTCCCCTCTAGTTTTTTGCCTGTTAACATGGGTCTACCCTTCCATCTCAACTCACTCACCATGTATTGACTTCCTCAGATTTGGTCCAATCTCTCTAATATGGGTTCTCATAACACCACATAGCATTATTTACAGCACTCATAAGAGTTGCAATTTTCCATGCATTTTTAGATGACATATCTGTCTGCCCACTAGACTGACTATGTGTTTTTCCCTGTTTCTATTTCTTCTCTTCCAGTTGCTACTGACTAACCTTGCACTGCCCACTTCTCTTCTATATGGTTTATCATCACTGCCACTGACCAGTGGATCCTATGTCTTATAGATTCTGATAATAAGCTTTTCTATGTCCTTCAGTTTCTAGTCTTAATACCAATTGTTGGCTTTCTCTAAATTTTTCATGTTCATACTCTACCAGCAAGAGGTTCTTATTGGTTTAATTCATATTTATTATCTCTTTGGTGAAGTTCCCATGATAGACAAGTCATGAGTCTCTGGCCAACACCCAAGTGGACTGGCCTTCAATCAAGAGTGTTGTGCATCCATTAGCTATGGCCAGCATGGTGGAATTGAGAGATCAGCTTTCCTGAAAAAATACAATAACCCAGATGCTTTCTCTATCACAGTCTGCTGGCAGAGTCAGAGAGGAGTCTTCCTTGCGAACTGGAGTTGAGTGAAGAGTAGAAACAGAAAACAAACAGGGACAATTCAACACCCTCCTTCTTGGTTGGTGTTCCACTCCACTAAATTTCCATTCCTTTGCATATATTGTTAACACATTTAAGATGTCAGAGAAGCCAAGTAGATTTGGGCCTGGTAAGCAAAGAAAAACTCTTAGAAGAGCTGAACTATTTTGGGAGTGGATGTGCCCTTTGGGAGCCTGTCTACTTCTGGTTCACCCTTACTTCTCAGGAGTAACCCTTCAGGCTCCCCACTCAAAGTGAAGGGAGTTCACCAGTCCTCCCCTGTGGCAGGTCTCAGACTCTAGTCCCTGATGTCCTATCCCCTTTCTCACAACATGAGGCTACTGAAAGCTTGCTCAGCCCTCAACTTCTGAACTGCCTCTACAAGAAAAACTTGGTATAACAATGATCATAATAGCTGGAAGAGTATATTTTATTGAGCTTAGTGAAGAGTTGGCTATCATCCATTATCTAGGTAGACATCACCCATTGCTACTCTTGGGCATAATGTAGAGGTTAACAGCACAGATTCTAGAACCCAATTACCTGGGTTCAAATTCTGGCTCTGCTACCTACCAACTATGTGAACTTGGGTGAGTTATTTGGCTTCTCTTTGTGTGTAACATGAGATTATAGCATCTAGTTCAATACAGTTGTTGTGAGGACTAAATAAATTATTAAATGTCAAGTGCTTATAACAGTGGTAACATTATGTATTTGTGAACTAGAATTACTGTTGTTGTTGCTATTATTATTGTCCTTTAGAGGTAACCCCATACAATAAGTGGCCACCTGTATTACTCAGAACACATTTGGTTATAGGTTGTATAAACTCAAATAGCTTAAGAAAAAGAAATGTATTGGTTCACACAACAGACAGTCCAAAGGACAGACTCACTTAGGCATGGCTAGGCCCGAGGGTTACAATGATGCCATCAGGACTCTTACTGTCTTGTACCTTGGCTTTCTGAGTCAACATCATTCTCAAGCAGGTTTCCTCCATATGATGACAAACATGTAGCTTAGGATGAACTCATTCATACACTTCTTCAGCAGATCTGAAAGATTCTGATAGGCCCAGGTTGTATTTCATCATTGAACCAATAATCAGGGGGATGGAGTATTCCAATTGGCTAGGCCTTGGTCATATGATATCCTTATAGCAAAGAGGAAAGTCAGGGCCAACTCTACCTGAACGTCACAGCACCACATAGCATTCTTTATAGCACTCATAAGAGTTCCTGGAGGAAAGATGTTGAGCAGGAAATGTCCACTGCTCAACCCTCTGTCAAGACACAATCTGAGCCATTTCTCCAAGAAGGAACTGGAGAACCGTGATTGACATGTTTACTGACATTTTAACCCATTTTCCATCTGCAGAGTTACAGACACCCAGGAGTGATGTTCAGAATATTGAAAAACTAGCAAAGCAAGAACTCTGATCAGTTTGAATAGAAACCCAACCAATCATAATGGTGGTCAGCTATAGCAGCTGTTCCTGCTCAACAGCCACTTTGCATCAGATGCAAACGTTGGACTGATTTCTGGGGACTTAAATATCCAGTTCTGTTCAATCTTCTGTATCAAGCACACACACTCTGGTTTTGGCTGATTTGCCCACTTGCCTCACTGGAGGCAGTAATGGAGTAGACAGATTTCTTCAGAACTCTTTCCACTCTTTAATTCCCTTTGCCATCTCATATGTGTGACCTCCCCCTGGGACAGAGGCAAAGCTTTTGAGCTGAAGTACCAATAACCTGGAAATAGACACATGTACCTTCCTTGACCTTCTGTTTGGAGCCCATGCTGTCATTTTTGGTGCTTGGGGAAAACAGAGGTCCCCTTCTTCCCTTCCCTCTATTCCTTTCCCTCTATTACTCTACCACTAGCAAATGCCTCACAAAACAGTTCTGGTCTCAGCTGGACCTATCTTTGTTCAGGAATGTTCTACCCCTTCAAGCTCAGGTTAGGTGAAGTGCTCTTTGATTAGAGACTTGGATGAGAAGCAACTTAATGGGCCAGCTCAGCTTGGCTGAAAAGCATCTACCAACAAGTGGTGTGGTATGTGTGTGTCTGTGTCTGTGTCACTTCTTGTCACATTCCCTTCACCTGAGTTAATGTCTTTAAAGCACTTAGCACAGAGTCCATACACAGTAGGTACCTAGTAAATGATAGCTCATCTTGTTTCTTCTTGCTAGACACACTCTCTGCCCACCCCACACGCTAGCCTGCCTTTAGTTGCTAGCAGAACCTAACAGCACCTTCCCGCACCCCCACCCTGGATCCTGACTTCCAGACTCAGGACAGCTCTCAGGCATCAGTACCCACACCTGCTCACCAAAAGATATTTCCCTGCCCTATTTTGACCCCCTCCCAGCTAATAATGCAGGCCTGCAGAAAGACTTAAGAATGCTTGCCAAGTCAGTCTGACCTTTGCTTCTCTCTTCCTGGTGGAAATTGATGGATTTCATGCCTGTCTTCTTTCAGGGTTACAGAGAGTAAGGCAACTTGCAAAAAACACAAGATACTTCAGACAGAGACTGAATGAAATGGGATTCATTATCTATGGCAATGAGGAGTCTCCCGTCATTCCCCTGCTTCTTTACATGCCTGCTAAAGTAGCGTGAGTATACAACGGGCTCTCAGAATAATACCGGAGCCCCAAGGTGATCTGACTAAGACAGCGCTTCTGACTCTATGAGGCTCTTTCAGCATGGGCATTGTTTATGTGCTTGGAATGGGGTGCTGAGTTCAGAATTCACTTGTATAGCTTCTTGGAAGCCACCTGCCAGCCCATCAGCAAAGAGGTCTTCTAAGAAGAGAATCAAGTGCCCACCACTTTCAAGCCCTGTGAATTTGGGTGTCACCCCCTAGGCCTCACCTGTAAATTAGAGATGATCCTTGCCTCCTTCTGCCCCACAGTCTTTTTCAGGGAAAACTTCTGGAGACCATCTCTCCCAACATTTGAAACAACATTACCAGGCTCTGTGCTTTCTCCACTGACCTTTCATGCCCATCCTCAGAAGAAGGAAGCCTTATTTCAAGTGTGGGGGAAACTGAGGCTGAGGACAATTAAATAGTTTGCCTAAAGTCATACAAGTCGAGCAGTAGTAAAATCAAGAGAATATCAAGAGGCAAACCCAAACTTAGGCTCACGCTCTTAACACCAAATTTTAATGCCGCTCTTATAAATCTATGTGGAGTTGTTTCCCATTGATTGCAACTCTGAAATTGAGCATGAGAACAACTGCATAAAGAGGAAAAATGACTTTTTCTCAATATGGCATAGACAATTTTATACATGAGCCATTCTCCAACTTGCCACAGACTAACTACCTCTGTTATTAAAAGGAAGTTAATTAAAGTCCTTTCTAAATATAAAATGTTTATTTGGGTGTCTGACCATGTGCATGGTGGAAAGTAATAGTCAACATATATTTACAAGATTCTAGATGTCCTAACTCTCCTGCAACATAACCCCATTTTTGGAAATTTCTGTTTGACTCTTTAAGAGTCTGAATAGATTGGTAGAGTATTTTAAGTATAGAGAAGAGATTCCGGGGCTATCAGTTGAGAACTCACGGTAGATAGGACTGTGTTAATTCTTCAGCATACACTCTTCCATCATTTCACCACAGCAAAATAACAAACAGTTAAAAAGCACACGTGAGTTCTTTCGCATGCCACACCATTACTGCCAGTGGGGCCTTTGTTCACAGATCTGGGTTAGGCTAACAGTGCATGGGGTGGTCAAGAGAATAGTGAGCTACAGAAAAGTCCCACAGGATACTGCTTGGTACTTACCACAGGGAGGAATGGCAACAGGGACTCAAAGTAGCATATGATCCCAAACCCTTTACCATCCAATTTCAGAAGGCAGAAAAGAAAACCTACGTTTATTCAGCATGCTTAGCAAAATGGTATTTTGTGGAAGAAAGATGCCACGCTTAGCACATGTCTCTCTAATATGTTATCATTAGCTCAAAGGAAGACACCAAAATAAATTTGTTTTATTTTTGAGAGTCTAAAGTGCACAATGCTGGAGGGTGGTCCTAGGGAGCATGCCATATAATTCTAACTTTGCTGGTGAAGGCTGGAAATAGAATTTTAACATGAATCCATGCCCTGAGAAGAGTCCATGAAGTGTTAAAACAAATGCATTTAAATTCAGGAATTGAATTTTGCAATAACAGAAAGAGAGAGGGAATACTTCTGTGGACAACAGCTAATGTGAAAAATGAAATCAGAGGGTGTTATGTGTAAAAACTGTGCTCCTTGGTGTAGTGAGGAGTTTGGAATGAAGAAGAATTTGACTCTGCCTCTTGCTAGCTGGGGGATCTTGGACAAGTTGCCCAACTTTCTGAAGCCCCAGTTTTCTCATTTTTAAAATAGAATATAATAGTACCTATTTCATAATTGTTTCAATTAACCAAGATGAGGTCTGTCAGCATAAAGTATGTTGTCTCTTAAATAGGAGCCACTAGGTGGGAGCTGTTATTATTAGTAGTATATAAGGCACTTAATATAGTACTTGGTGTACTATCAGCATTTCATCAGTGGTGGTTATTATTACTACTACTGGGACTTCTACTAGTACAATGATTATTATTATTAGTTTCAACTGTGTGCAGGATTTGGTCACCATGGTTGCATGGGCTCTCCAAAATAGTTATTGCAACCTTTGGTTACATTAATAAAAATAGAACTTCCAGGAAAATAGTAGGTGGAGATCCTGCTATTGCATGAATCAAATATGCCATATTGAACCCTGGATGATATGTCAAACCATCTAGTGCCTTCCAGTGAAGATGGTATTTAAGGAGGATCTGATGTGGCTGAATGCTGATTCTATGCTAAGTAAGACTGTCAGATCCAGCGATCACCCACCAAGGGTGGATGCTTGGCCCTAGTTTATAAACAAGGGCACCAAGACCCACAAAAGTTAAACTACTTTCTAAGGGTCACTCAGGTTGTACAAGCAGTAGAGCCCAGAATTCAAAGCCAGTTCCATTTGCCTCCTACACCAGAGCTCTTTTCAGTGCATAGCATGGCCTCTGAAGCTTTAGTCCACAGTGGGGGATATCCACATTTCATTAAAGCAAACACAGAGTATAAGTTTAACTCTCAATGTCATCTTTGGTGAATCAGAAGGCCTCAGTCACTGCAAATGGGGAAAAAACCACTCTAATTGCTTGAGTTGTCTAAGGAAACTTAGAATAGGTCAGTTACAAAAGGTAATGTCATCTCTTATTGGCAGGAGTTGCTGCCAAGAGCTTCCCTGCCGCCTGGCTTTGTTTTCTTCTCAGATATTTCTTCAATGGAAAGTTTATATGGAGAAAAGTCTTTTGAAACAAGGAGTTAATTATATAAGCCAGTGTATGAGCACTTCTTTCATTTGCTCATTTTCAACCCTTTGCTTTTATTAAAGCACTATGATTTCTCCACATGTCCACCTACTGCAGAATGAAAATATGATCTCCAGCCAGGTATCGTTTTGAGCAAAGTTTCATTGCAACCCTACCACAGGAATCTTCTACAATGTCCAATATCATGTGATTTCACCCATAAAACATTCACTTGAATAATCAAGAATATATTGTATTTGCTCTCTGGTACAGAGTTTACATTCTCCTTCTATGTGTCTCATCATACACTTGTAGGATGGTGGCATACAGGATGCAGTGATGCTGCACATACGCAGTGCTAACATTTTATTATTATTATCCACGTAGTCTAGCTTCTTTCAGCTCACACTGGCTCTCATTTATTTTGGGGAGTACAAACCCAGAGTCTCATTATATAAAATGTTCAGAACAATCAGACACATTAACTGAAGGAGGCCAGGGTTAGTAGTGTAAATTTTAAGCCAGAAAGTGCTCCAGGGAGGCCTCAGATTAGCCTAATGAATCAACAGTCATATATTTTGCTCTACATTCGTTGGCAAAACTCACTTCCTCTGGTACAAAGAGAAACATGCAGACAGTGAAAATGGTCTTTGGGGAGTCCTGAAAACTAGCCTGAGATCATGGGTCAGGTGGTTTGTATTCTAGCAATAAAAGCACTTGCCTTGTTTCTCAGATAATTATGAGCTCTCATCCTGTGTAGTTCCGTGGGCAGCCTTCTGTAGGGTGAACAAGAAAGAGAAAGAACAGCCTCTGTTTTTCAAGCTTTCTCAGAAAGCTTCATCTCCTTGTTAATCTTCCTCATCCAAATCAAAGGCTAATCTTACCTTTGCTGGGCCACGGGGCCAGAGAGGCTGTGTGTTCAGTAGGTCTTGCAATCTCCATCACTTCATTTGATAGCATGCATTCTGCATGAGGCAAGCAAAAAGGCAGACAGCTTCATGGCAAGAGGAATGAGTAAATGAACAAGCTAGCTCTCCACGTCTAGTTCAAGAATTCTTCCTGAGTTATGACTGGAAGGTTTCTGTGGTGCTGTCAGCTTCCAGCCTAAGAAAAGGACACCAGAATCCTCTTAATGCTAAGAACAGTTCTGAGGCATTTACCTTGCTTGTGGGCAGAGACATTTAGTAAGTAATGTTTCCTGCAGAGAACAACAGAGCACAAAGTGGGGAAAGATTCACTTAGGGGCGCATGCCTTTTTGTCTGATTTTGGGTCTTAGCACAAAAAATCTACAGACTTTTTAGAGATCAATATTCTAGAATCATTACTGAGATTAGCTTTGAAAAAGAAAGTGTCTAGAAGCAGATAAGGGGAAGGAATGACAACTGAGGAAGTTTACAGCCTGTGTCAGAAAGCTTTGTAGTTATGACCTACGTACTACAGGCTGCATCTACCAACCAGCCTCTCTGTGTGTACACATTTCTTTCCCTGCATCCCCCTTGCCTCATTTCCCCTTTAACCCAGTCAATGGGTTTATTATCCTTGAACATACCTGGGTGGATTCATTTACACAATCAAAAATGAGGAGACCCTTACTATTTTCCCTCTCCAATTTAATGAGGGAAAAAATCTTTGGCTCTGGAGTGAGAATACAGCTCAGTATTAGCACCCACAGACCCTCAGATCCTGGTTCTCAAATAATAGTCACTAAGTATAGTCTTCTTGAAATTTCCATACTCTATTATTGGTATTACGTTTTTAAAACATACAAGTTTACACATACTATACGTTCTTTCTTTATGCAATTGCATTGTGTTAGCTGTTGGGTTTTTGTTCCTAGGAACTCTGCAGACGAAGGATTTTTATATCAATGCTGACTCATTAAACCAGGGTCACGTACATCAGCATTTTCTGCTCAGTGTCAAAGATAGTACTCACAATGTTCTAATTGAGTGTGCCAGGCTGCATAATATACACCCTCAGATATGGGTGCCATCAAGGAACTGCCTCATTTTCTTGTCAGTTGCACGTAACAGAAGTTTAGTAATTTCAATCATCTTCTATTTATTGTTATAAGAAATGTCAATTAGCCATATTCTTTTTCTTGCCACATAATTTTGTCATCTCTCAGCTAACCTTCTTTTTTACCCTTCCCATAGGGCTTTTGCAAGGCATCTATTAAACAGAAAAATTGGGGTGGTGGTCGTTGGATTTCCAGCTACTCCCCTCGCAGAAGCTCGGGCTCGGTTTTGTGTTTCAGCGGCACATACCCGGGAGATGCTAGACACGGTGAGTACCCCACAGGCCAACAGAACCACCAGTGATGGCACCTTGCATTGCGGGCACATTCTTTTATTGAGCTTGCTTGAGGTTCCCTAAATTTCTCTTGATGGTTTAGAAAACCAACACTCATAAATCTCACTGCAAAAAAAAAAAAACGGTTATGCCAACAATGCCCAACAATGTGATCAACTCGAGGGATAGAAAAGAAAAATGAGTTTAGTGAAGATTTAACTCAAGGCATTGTTTTGGTTTCATAAAAAGACTGACTGAGTAGCCACATGTTGTGCCATTTACTTGATCTTAAATGCAAAAGCTAATCTGACATGCTATTTCAGCATGAACCGCCCGCAACCTGACACTTTTCAGAGCCACCAAACCCCTCATAAGAAAATATGACACAACTAAGCAACATGTTGGCAAAGCAATAACAAAGACAGGTCCATCATATCATCCAGACCTACACTAGCTTTTAATGATTTCATAACCACATTTCACTGTCCTTTGGTTTTGATCTTTATGTGAATGAGCGAGAGCAGAAAACTAAGCCATCTCAATCAGTTTGGGGTTGATGAAACTGTCTCCTAATGTCAAAGCAATTTAGCAAACACATTGAGTGTCTACTTGTGTGCAAAACCCTGGGGCAAAAACTCTAAGAGGAGATACTAATAAATAAGCAACTAGTGATAATACCAGACAGAATAAATTCATCTTGGAAAAGAAATATAGACAACTGTGGAACATGAAGGTGGGAATTATATATGGGATTATATGAAGTCATTCATTATATATGAATGAGTTATTCCATATGAAGATGGGAATGAATTATGTGTATATGTGTAATATACATGCACATATAACATGTATTATGGATTGTTATGTGTGCATGTATATTATATATGTATACATATGTATGTATATATACATACACTAGGAGACAGTTCTACAAAGAATAAAAAAGTGAATACTTTGAGCTCAAATAATAAATTATACATGCACAGTGTCCATGTCTTTCTGCTTCACCATTACATTCTTAGGACTTAAACCAGTGTCCACTACAGAGTACATACATAGTAACAATTTCTTGCATGACACACTAATAATTGAGCTAACTCTAGGTTTTGAGATGATGGGTGAACTTTGTTGTTATTGTTCTTTAGAGTTTTTCTATGTTGTCCAGGTTCTCCAAAATGAGTATATATTTCTAGTAATTAATTTTAACAAATTGTTTCTTTTAAATAGAAAAAGCCAAGTTTCACTACAAAAGCAAGAAAAAATAGGTTTAAAAATCCCTTGAAAGACTTGAGCATGTTTACACATTAAGAGAGGAAAAAGTAACGAGAGAGAGGCAGTAGGCATGGGAGAGGAAAGGACATGACCGGGGGGCATGCTCCCAGAGATGAGAGGAGGGGGTGGACAGCAGTGGGTGATTTGTATTTTTTGCGACCCCCAACAGCATTGAGGTATTCATGGATACCCAATTCTGGAGACATCAGACCTCGGGATTCTCTTCGAAAGTTCTTAATTCCTGTTGAATACCTGGTTTGGAAGGAGCACTGAGACATCATCTAGACAGATTCCTCTAAGCTTTTGAAATCAGGCACCTATATCAATAAAAATATGGTGAGCATATGCCTTAATATGCACATTAGGGAAAGTGAAAAATGACCCTTGAATAGCCAGGACATTGAGGTAGTTAAATGAATATAACACTCACAGAAAATACATACTAAATAAGTCCCTTCTATGACCATGTTTGGAACAAGGCAGGGATGAGGTCCCTCTACAAACACAAAATGGCTTAGAATTTCTTTCTTCTAACATGAGTGATGGCTTCTCCTTTACCAATGACCTCACCTTAGTCATCCCACCTGCCACATAAGAATTCTGCATAGAGCCAATCACTGAACTTCTCCCGCTCAAAACAGCATCAACCTAGACTGGTCCCTGCTTCCTTAGAGTCATCTCAAACAGAAGTCTAAATGTGGGAAGAAGCCCTTCCCAGGTCCCTCTTACTAAGATGCTTCTTCTGTAATTCATGCCTACCTTTTCTGGGTACAGGTGTGCTCTAGATCATCTGATCAGTGGGCTTCAACATAAATCCACTTATAAGTTATTTATGCACTGCCAATATATTATGTACATTTTATGACAGACACAAAAATGGAAGTTAAAAAGACTGAGATTAAAATAACTAGAAATCCTATGTTCTCCCACACCTTCCATGAATTGTCTCTCATCTCCCCCAGTGTACAGATGCCTTACTCTGAGCTACTCCATCCCCACTTCAGCCAAGAGCAATAGACACTATCTTGGTTTGATGTCATTTCAAATATAACTTTTGTTACTTTGTCTTAGTGCCTAGATTTGATGTAAAAATTTAGGAAGTACATTGAAGTAAAAAGTAAAAAAACATTTTAACCACCCATAATGCTACCACCCAGAAATAAATGACTCTTCATATGTTGGTGGATATCGAACTTGATGCCAGTTTGAAAGACTTCCCAAAGAGGAAAGCCCATAAGCTCACTAGTCATTCATTCCAGAATTAACAAACATCTTCACCTTTTTCAAATCATTAGATCCTAATATTGTCCACCTCGTTTGACAGGTCAAGACAGGCCTAAAAATGTTAAAAAGCCATGCCCAGTACCATAAGATTAATGATACACTAGATGGGAAAATTACATTTTGTATATTCTGCATCTCAGTTGTTTCTTTGGAAAATTGGGGATACATTTATCTGCCTGAATTGAGAGAATTGAAACAGATGAGTTCTTGGTCCTTTGTGGTTTTAAGTCCTATGATTCCATGGAACATAGAGATGAGTGTTTAAAAGCTGTGGCTGGGGCAGTATGGGAGAGAGAAGAGGACACTAACCAGCTCCTGCAATGTTCCATTTTGCCCCTGGCCAGGTTGATTTGCTGTGTCATGAGGACATAAACCCAAATGTAATCTGCAGCCTTACCTCTTTCTTCCACAAGGTTATATATATGTCATTAAACTTTAAAATAAAGCCTGAAAGGGTAAGCATTGGTCAGATGCTTTTATTCCTTTCCTCACACCCCAAAAACAAATACTCATAATTTGGGGTAGACTATTAAAGAATATGAAATAAAATTAATTAGCATCTAACATTCCTCTAGGGCTGGTTTATAAGCCACACCTTAATGATTTGGATCTTTCCCCTTTTCTTTAAAATCAAGGAAGTTGGTAAAAGAAGATTGTATCTCTGCGGGGCTTAGGAGTTTAAAGAATAACTGATGGAACGCAATCTCTTTGCAGGTTTTGGAAAACCTGGATGAAATGGGTGATCTTCTGCAACTGAAATATTCTCGGCACAGGAAGTCAACACGCCCCGAACTCTACGATGAGACAAGCTTTGAACTGGAAGATTAAGTTTCCTGGTCCTGAATTGCACCTAAAGACTTTGCTCGAAAAACCCCCATTTTGCCTCAAAAGGAATATAAATGGATTTCTCCCCCCTTTCTAAGGACAATTTTGGTTTCCAAACCAGCTTAATTGAACTGAAGGAAAGGTTGTGTTTTTAATATCTCCAGCTCGGGACTGCAGAGACAAAAATATGGTTCCAGATTTTAACTTTCTCCTCTCCCAAGTATCCTGCTACAAATACACACGCACGCACACACACACACACACGCACACACACACACACACACACACTTCCTAGAACATTTTTAATGGCAATGAGCCTGTGTTTTAGCTGCTCCTGTGCAGACTCTTTGGTCCAGACTCTTTCAGGCATTCCAACCAAAGGAGAAGGCTTCGATTTTTAATTCAGTAGATCTCCCTATGTGTGTACTTATTTCATCTGCAGACATGAGCAAGGGTGGTGGGCAGTAGCTGACCTCCTTGTTTCACCCATGAATGGCCCAGCTAGAACTCATCTGTATCATGGGGAGCTCCAGGCAGGAGGGTAAAGAAATTTTGCTTCTACCATTTGCCACATTTGGACTTTTTCCAAGGACAAGTGTCAAAAGCTATAGTTAATGTTTGGAGGGAGAGAGCGGGACTGGCCAGCCAGTAACTCCAGACGTCTTCGAAGGAAACTCCTTTTCCTCTTCCTGGTCTCCTACAGTTTTACAGCTGAGCTTTTGAGGTTTGGAAAATTCAAGACTTTTGTTTCATAAGGAAGGGTGCAGAAAGCAAACACAAGCCAATTGCAGGCCTAGACTCAAACTGTAATGTTATAACAACTGGAAGGCTGTTGGTGCCATGTAGAGTGAATGTTTAGCTTGCATACATAACCCTTATTACTTTAAGGAATGAGTTGTCATTTTCCTATTAAATTTTGAGTAAATGGTGAGATGCAGTTTCCTTTAGAGTTGACTCTCAAGCCTATACTTGAATGTATTAATTCAAAAACGACATTAAAAAGCAAATTCTATTTAACATTTTTAAGACTGACACCCCTGTTCAGGCCTATTAAATAGTCCTTACCGTCTGCTGGCACATGCAATCCGATTTTGGTGTAAAGTGGGCTTGCACACTATTGAGCAAAGAACTGTAATTTCCTTGAGTTCTCTCTGTCTCTCTCTATCTCTCTGCCTCTGTTCTGTCTGACTGCCTGTCTCTCTCTCTTTCTAAATGTGAACACAAACTTATCTGGAATAGTCCCTTTTTGCTAATTGGTTCTAGTTGGTATGGAAAAAGCCAGTGGAAAACCTTATCTTTAACAAGCTCCCAGATGGTTCCCAGATTTGGAAACTCTAAAGAGCAGTGGTGACCTTTTAGCAAAGCTTCTGTAATAGTTCGAATGAGTTACAGAACATTCCACTCCATCAAATGACAATATAAACAAATCACTTCAAGAGAGGTTTGACTTGTGACACAAATGGACTCAAGCTTTCATGCTGTGCAGTGAGATAGAAACCCAGCCAGGAGCACTGGTGTTGGAGAGAGCAACATGCCTGGTGCTCACAACAGATTAAAAGATGGAAAACTTTTTATGGGAAAAGTAAAACCGCTACTAGGTATATCAATTTAAAAGTGATCACAACGATAAAGTTTCTCACACACATTTGTAAGGATCACTATCAGCAAAAGAGGAGAGGAAATGAGTTCTGACAATGCAGTTGCCCCATCCAGTGACTAATTTTGATAACTAAATTACAACTCTCCCCAATGCATTGGTGCACCATTACTTAGGCAAAGAAAATATATGTGGTATACATGTCCCCAAAAAGTCTTTTCTCTTGAAAATGTGCGTTTAAGTGAAGTTGATTCTAGTTAATTGTCCAAAATGCATAAATGTCTTCAGTCCTATAAAAGGAACAGTAGAGGAAGAGGCCCTTACTGAGGTACACCGAGCAGTAAACATCCCCTTCCTTTCTAGTCCATGATCTTCATACACATCTTCACACCCACCCTTTGGGTTTTAGGGTGTTTTTGTGAGCAGGAATATTCGTCTATCTTTATTACTTTTATGGAGGATCCTGAGTCTAACTCATGATAGGAAAATAATTATTTATCCACTGGCCTGGGGAGCAAGGGGGACATTACTCCTGCTTCATCAAGATCCCAGAGTCCTAGGACAATTTATTACATTCTCATGTACAAGATTTTTTAAACAAAATGAAAAACTACCTCTGTCAGAGGGTCTACACTGAATACACTTACGAGAACAGCTATAAACCAAATGCTATGCTTCCTGAGAACATTAGGAGGGATCCAGATCCAATAGGGCTGGTAATATAGGAGTATATGTCATAGATAGAATGAGGTTGGCTAAGAGTGATTATGAGAATTTTTAATTTTTATAAGAAAACATCTACTGCTAGGTTCATAAAACCACAATTTCAAATCAATAGGGATCGTTGAGTCTCAGTAACTATACCACAGCCCAAAATGTCCCTTTGGTTGGCTCTGTTGAGAAAGAGAATTTTCTAACAAAACTCTGTTATGTACCCCAACCCTCCCATGCATGCACATGTGCATACACACACACACACACACACACACACACACACACACACACACACACACTTTCCCCTTCCTTTACAGAGCAAGCAAGAGTATAAAGGTACAGAGGTGAGAATCTGGCTGGTTGGTAGATAGATGGAAGATGTTTTAAAAGATGTGGCCTTCAGTGAAACAGAACATATAGGATCCAGACTGATATTCTTAGGGGGGATACATTTGTTTAACAGGGAAATGGCATAGACACATCCCTAATCCTATTATGGAACTGTGTTACTGTGGATGTTTGGCTACATTGCCTTTCAGCATGTTTTGGTTTGACAGACACCATGGGCTTCAGAAGTTACTAGAAGCTTATTAAAATGCAGGTCCCTGGGCCCCCAGCCAGACTTCCACTGAATTGGAAGAGCCCAGGAACTTACATTTAGCCAGCCTCCTTAGGGGTTTCTAATCATGCCCTAATTTGAGAACCACTGTTGGAGCTTCTGTTTGCATAGATCAGTTGTCTCTAATAACATAACAGAAACTTTGTCCTCATTCTTTGTTGATAATTAAGGGTGCTTATACTACTAAAGTAAAGTGAATTATTCCAAACTTTTCTCCTCAGTGAGACATTTTGTTCCCATTTCCAGGTACCTTCTCTTTCTACAAAATTGGATATTAAGAATAATCTGCCTATGATTATTTATTCCAACAACAGCTCTCCAATAGGGTGAAAGTCTTAACAGTTCTTCACACATGCAATACTCCTCTGTATTTTCTTCAGAGACAGCAAATACTGTAAGTGGCTTACTCTGACTTAAAATTTTTGATGAGGAAACTTTAATTCTCTTGGATTTATGGCAATAATAACAAAATTTATATTTGGAACTTCTCTGGTGATTTCTTGGCCATTTTTCCTCGTCTCCATATGAACAACATATTTGAAGTCTTTTTTCTCAGAACACCTCAAGCAGCTGTGTAATTTTTGGAAATTAAAGGCGTCTGTATTTTAAACGTTTCAAAGAAATTATTATGGGACATTGTCTTACAGTATTGTGGGGCGGGTGGGTGTGTGTGTGTGTGTTTCACTGAAACATTTGAGGTAACCAATTTCATTTCATTCTGCCTGTGAAATACTAATTTCTTTAATAGACAAATCACCAAAATAGACAATAGAAAAAATAATTGATGGTTCTTTGTTAGTTTGGATTACCCTAAATAGAGACTCAGATAGAGATTTGCATTTAAGAATTTCATTAAGGAAAATGGGCAAGGGTGGCTGGCACTGGCTCAAACTGTGTCACAAGAACCAATGTGTTCATCTATTCCCAACTCCTTCTTCTGTGACATCACCTTGGTAGCTTGAAATTGACCATGCTGAGAGTATTTACACCATGGAAATCGGCAAACACTACAAATTCGGGATCTGGAGAGCCATCTGTTAAACCTTTACCAGCATAACACTGAGACCACATACAGTGCAACAATATCTAGGATGGATCGAGGAGACAGGATTGGAAAAGGGAGACGCCTAACTACGATTTCATCATAGAAAGGCCTTAGTCAATCCCATGGGGAGGTATGCAACAGAAATGGCCCTTTAAATTATCTCAAAGTGAAACAAGGGAGACAGGCTTCTATGTCCTTTCTGCCATCAGCTAATCACTAGATACAAGTTACAAAGGTAGAGGTAGGGGAGGGCATTACCTTGGCCAAGACAATTCCATTCAACCAAAGGCACTTCTTGGGGGGGGACTTGGTTCTGAACTGACAGCACTCCATCAACTTAAAAATAATTATTTCTAATCCATCTCCTTTAAAAAAGTTTTAAAATGGAAAATTGTAAACATAGAGTAAGAGAGAGAGAATAGTATATTGAACCCATGTGCACCTATCACCTAGCTTCAAACATTATCAGTTCACGGCTAGTCTTTTTCATCTATTTCCCCCACTCACAGATTACTTTGAAACAAGCCCCGGAAATCATATGATTTCATTAGGGAATATTTCACTGAATCTCTCTAAAAGGTAGAGATGTCTTCAACTGTCCCTTAATTGGTCTCAACCTCATTAAAAGTAGTCTTTAGGATAACAAAGGCATGGACATGAGTCAAATATTAATCTTTTCATTCTTTATCTCATACCCTGCCTGTGAATTTCCTGGAGATGAAGACTAGGAATTATTTCTAAAGCAGGTATGTGGTGTCTTAAAAGATAGCAAGTCAATCATTTTTTGGACACTTATCATGTGCCAGACACTCCACTAAGAACTCTGATTATTCATTATCCTCTGGATACCCTCGTAGAGATTAAGAGTAGACTCATCTTGGAAGGCCAGTCTGTTGAAGTTGTCAGGGATTAGCAGTATGTAAAGAGGACTTCCAAAGCTCCAACAGGGCCTTGCTTTATTTTTCTGAGAATGCTATATTCCTTTTCCAGTCAAATTTATTACAAAATTATTTCAGCTAAACTTTATATACCAGCAGGGTAATTCAAACAGGAATAAGAGAACAAGTGAGACCCACTTACCTGTTTGGAAATGGCTGATGTCTGTGACAGGGCTTAGGACAGAACTTGACATTTGTAAGTCAACTAGCTCTGAAAATTATCACAGATACAAATCAGTCAGATATCTAACATAAGGAGGTCAAGGTAGAAGCAAGAGGGGATTTTTTGGTTGTTTTTTTTTTTTTTTTTTTTTTTTTTTTGCTGTGGCATGAAACAGTGCTC